AAACTTTGAAAACGTTGAACATTCCGATGAAAGTGTATTTATGGTATCACTTGTGCCCTTGGAGCTTTCGAGCGGGGATGAACACATTCTTTTTTGGGTCAATCCCCACCCTTCCTCGACCAAACTTTGTCGACCAGTAATGTTTGAGTTTTGTAAAGAGACGAAAGATAAAATACTGGATACTGTAAATGTCATAAAGAACGAGATCAACTGCTTATCTCCTACCGAAGTCCCAATTGAAAACCAAAAGTTTTCTGTAACACATAATTTAGTCTTGACGATGTTGGATGGCAAAGTGTGCCAGACCTTGACTAACAATCCTTCAGCTGCTTGTTGTCCTTTATGTGGTGCCAAGCCATCCGAACTGAACGATATCGATACTGTTCGTCAAAGACCTATATCAGAAGGATCAACGGAGTATGGGCTGTCAACTCTTCACGCATGGATACGTTTCATGGAATGCATCTTGCATATTGCTTATCGACTGGATCTGCACCAGAAAAAATGGAGTGTGAGAAGTCCTGAGGATAAGTTAAAGATGAAGTCGACAAAAAAAAGAATCCAGCTACAGCTTAAACAACAACTTGGTATAATTGTGGACATCCCTCGACAAGGGAGTGGTACTTTCAACGATGGAAACACGGCACGAAGGTTTTTTAGAAATTGGGAGACTGTTGCAGAAATAACGGGTGTCGATAAAAACCTTATATATAGGTTTTACATCATTGTACAGGTTCTGGCAAGTGGGGAATTAGTTGACTCTTCCAAATTTGAACAATTTGCCAGACAGACCGCATATGACTTTGTTGATCTGTATGGTTGGTACTTCATGCCTTCTGCTGTCCATAGAGTACTCATTCACTGCAAAGCTGTCTTAGATTCGACATTACTCCCAATTGGAAAATTGTCGGAAGAAGCACAAGAGTCTAGGAACAAAGACTTCAAGCGTTTCCGACAATCGCATACGCGAAAAACTAGACGGTCACTAACAAATGAAGACCTTATACATCATTTACTGGTGTCCTCAGATCCCGTTATTGCCAGTTTAAGAGCGAAGTGGAACTCTCCTCATTTAGACATAGACTAAGATGCAAAAAATCTTCTTTCTTCGTCTCCTAATGCAATAAACATAGACTCGGAATCGGAACAGCAATCCTATGATGCTGAAAATGATTATGAAATGGAAGATAATGCACATTAGTACATGTACATTTCGGGAATGCTACATTTAATTTTATTATTATTTTCGTACTTAAAAGATTTGTATTGTTGTTTACTTTATATTTATAGATACATTTCGTATTTCAAATATCGAGTTTTGCTTATTATTTTGATCTAGTTTCAAACTGTCAATAATATTAGTTTGATTTTTACAACACCTCCACAATAATAACAATATTAAAAATAAAATGTATAAATCAGTGCAGTGTAAGTAAAACCAAAACTAATGAAAATAACTGGCGAATAGGTCCTGCATTAAAATAATACAGATAATAATGATCAGTAATTTACGCTTAAATGGCTTTGATAGCGAAATTTTTAATTTCACGGAACATGTGTCCATTAACCAACTTTTTTTTTCCATTTGAATTAGAAAGAAAGTATAATTGTGCTATATCAATGAATTCAGAAAAAAAAGCTCTATTCAAAAATGCATTCATGGTAGTACCAATTAAAAAAAATCAAATTGGCCTTGCATCTCGAAAACAAATGAAGCAAAAAAAATTTTTTTTTGGCAAATAATTAGAGCACAATGTCTAGAAAGCTTCATGTCTAGTCACAGCTTTCAGTTTGAGTACTGGTATCTATTTATTATATGATCTAAGGTAGTATAGCTGTGAAATTAGTGCTAATGATTAATTAATGGTTATTTAATGACCCCCTTAATTATCCGCTGTAATTAATAATGATTATTCCTTAGTTAATTAACAGTTACCCATCAGTCTTTTATTTCTTAAATAATTGATCAAAGTTAATTTTTAAAAGAGTGCAGCGCTTTCTCTTTTTCGAAAAGTTCTGTCCAAATTTCACGCTTTTTGCTAATGTGCAGCCTATTTAAATTGTACATAGAGTTGTATAAAAGGGGCTTACTAACATGACAGATATTCACTTATATTCGTAGCGACTTCACTGTAGACGTTACCCAGGTTCACCACCAAGTCAAGTGTTCAGTAAAATTTTGTATTATATTTTTGAAAAATTGGTAATTGGTATGTTTATTGTGTATGATTTTATTCTAACTTTTATTTTTTCATTAGAATGGATGTACGATTTCGAACACCCTTTACGACTATAGTTACTGGACCTACAGGCTGCGGTAAATCTTATTTTGTCACGCAGTTTTAAAAAAAATTAAACGTTATATGTGATACAAATTTCAGCCAAGTTGTGTGGTTTTACGATGAATGGCAGCCGTTATATGAAAACATTGGCAGTGGTTTGAAAAATTTGAAAGTTTATTATCGGCAAGATGTTCCCGATTTAAGTTGTTTTGACGGTGTAACTGCCGCTTTCGTTATCGTTAATGATTTGATGAGAGAAACTAATAATACAATAGTATACATTTCTCTAAATGCTAATTATATGTATATTCGGTTGGTCGGTTGCCCTGTAGGGTTGAAGCGAACTTCTGCGGCAAATTAAATAGTACTGTGGTGAAACCGCTTTTTTTTATCAATTTCTTAACTGCTCATTTTAGATTTTTCGTTCATGTTATAAAACCTCAGCAAGTAATTTAACCAACAAATAAAGTTCAGATGAATTTTCTTTATGTTCCTAAATTTTGAAAGTGAACAACAGAAATAAATAACACCTTTAAATTTGGATAATGGCAATTCTTTTCCACTCAAGGCTTAATTCAACAAAAAACATTTTATCAACATGATTTGTGACCTATTGGAGTAAGTTGATTTTTGGCTTTTGAAAAAAAAATTAGTAAACACTTCTAAGTGTTCAGGATTAACAATTTTTGAGTTACCTGTGAGTATTGTTGTACTGCAACGAAAGAACTCTGTGTAACTTCACTAGCACCAAATTTCAACTAACTGAAGTTAACACACATTTTTCTTTTGCACGAACTACACAAAGGGCTTTTAACCCCCACAAGGCAAAGTTAAAAAGTTCCCTCTTTCACCCTACTTTTACTTAAACAGTGACGCCAAAACTGGAGACGTTGCAGTAGTACCTACGTAAAGTCTAAGGTGTTTTTTGTACCATCTATTTGCATTTTATTTCTGTTCGTTAAAAACAGTTGGTATTATCGGCATATTAATATTACTTATACTTAACGAAAATGAGCAACGAAAATAATTGAGTCTCATGTGCAGATACGTAAATTAGCTATTAAAAAATTAATTTAGTAGCTTGATTGTGATAAAAAGATAGGTATAAAACAAAAGCGGAGACCAACACCACCACTCTCATTAATGGTAATGACAGGTAGAAAGCAAAACAGAGCATTTAATGAAAATCATTATAATAAAACTAAATAGTTAACGGCTTCGGTTTTAAGAAACGAATTATACTGTTGGAATTGTATATTATTCACAAGTGATGAATCTTCCGTTTGGGATAAAACAGGCTATAATAATTTACAAAATTTGTCAAAAGCTATAGAAAGGCATGAAAAATCACATCTACTATTTTAGATTCCGCTCATAAGAGGGATATTGAGAACTATAACGAGAAAGTTGGCGAAAATAGGGCAATTTTGAAAAGACTAATCGATGCAAAAGTTTATTTATCTATCAACGCACGAGTGTTCTTTTCGTGGGCATGACAAAAAAAAATATTCAGATAATGAAAGATATAAAAAGTAGTGCTTTTCAAATTTGAGCCTCCTCTGAAGAAAACTTCACGAGCCGCCACTGACATCCACAGTCCTTTTGAGAGATTAAACATTGGATTAGTGTCTCAAGTGCCACTAGACTACATGCACTTGGTGTGCCTAGGTGTTTTTAAGCGGTTGTTAATTTTTTGGATTAAAGGCGCTAAAGATGTACGAATGAAACAAATAGACCTTGAAGCAGCGTCTGCAGATTTAGTCAACAATTTTAGACAATGTGTTCCTAAGGAATTTTCTCCCCCTACCTAGAGACTTACATGATGTTGACAGATTCAAAGCAACAGAATTTAGACAAATTTTGTTGTATTCCGGACCAATGATATTTAAAAACCGTATTTCTCGTTCACAATATGTACATTTTATGTCTTTGCATTGTGCAATTCGTATTCTTTGTTCCCCTGATTTGTTGAAAAATTACTCTGAGTATGCAAATGAGTTGTTACAATATTTTGTGGAAAACTATGGTATTTTATACGGAAACGAATACATTACACATAATGTGCACAATTTAGTTCATTTAGTACACGATTGTAAAAATCATGGAACGTTAGATGATTTTGGTGCCTTCAAATTTGAAAATTATTTGTATAAACTGAAAAAAACTATTGAATTTTCTCGTCATCCCTTCAAACATTAAATTAATAGGTGTAACGAACAATGGAGTATTCGTAACTACATCTTTAATAATGAAAAAGTAATTTTGCAACAGGAAACCGAGACGAATTTCACTCTGTGCAAAATTTTATGTTGTTATAGCCCGAGAAACAATGGTCGGTTGTACATTTCCTTGCAACTAATACAGTTGCGTCGGTCCCTAATAACTGGATTAAAAAAAATGACGATCAGTTTTATTGCTATTGGCCAGAGGGAGATAAAGACGTATCAAAAAAGGTAAAAAAGTATTATTCGTCCGATAGTACATGGCACTTCCTTGAAGTAAGAGTGCTCAAACAGTGTGGTAAGATTTTTAATCACATCGAAAGTATCAGTTAATACAGTTTTTTTTTTAAGATACGTACGACGAAACCAGGGGATATGAACGACGTGTGGAAAATGAGTCTAATACAGATATAGAAAATGGTATAATTATTTTTTTTTTAATTTTGACGTCTTAATTGTTAAGGGTTGTTACCTAGAGAGACCGTTGGGACGGGGCCGCAGAAAGTGAAAGGTAAAAAGAGATTCCAATTTTGTGGCGGACATTCCACCACCTCCTAAAATTCAATGTTTAACATCACAAAATGAAGTTACTACTGCTTCTGAAGGTGAGTAAAAAGTAACTGCATAGAATAAATACAGTTAAATTGGTACCTGCAAGTTTCTAGCCAACGACAACGAAAATGAAATAGAAGGCGAATATTTGGTTACACAACCCGTTGGGTTATTGGTTCAAGGTAGTGCAACAGGGAATGGTAATTTTTTTTATAAAATTTGTGATATTTTGTTCAAAGTATGTACATTTCTTTCTGCCGAAGGTGAAGGTCATTCAGTGGTTAGTGCATCAACAATAACCGCAAGTTCAACATCATCATTAAATTCCCGTAATGCCCGTACTGTTGGTACTTTTTAGATGATATGTTTTAAAAAATAATGTTTGTAGAAGCTGAATGCCAGATATATGCTGCGATAATTGAAGTGAAGGAATTAGTTAAAGAAATCAAACAGTCGTTACAAAATCAAAGCTTAATAACAGCCGTTACAACTTTTGAAACAGTGCCTAAAGAACCTTTTAAAAAGTTTCGAAAACTATTAGCCTACGAATAAGTATTAGAATGCGATGTGGGTCATCAACAACAATTAGCAAGTATTATACAGGCTGACTGCGAAATAGATGCAAAAAAAATGGGGAATTGGTCACAATATGATTATGTCACTGGCAAAAATTCACGGTCCTAAGTGGTAGCAGTGTCTAGAAAAAAATATTTGAAATTAAATGTAAATTGTTATACGCGCCGCTGGTAATGTTTCGTGACCTACATAATTACTGCAATGAATGGCAGGCGGCTCGGTTTAAGAACCAAAAAAGTAACTTTATCAGGCACTTTTTTAATCGCAACGTGAAAAACACGAAAAGGGCCAGTGATTATCGAGCGGTCGTTGAAATCGGTGTATGGTCCAGTTTTCCAATGCAGAGCGTGTCGATATCGTAATTTGTGTGGGCGAACATTTGCATCAGTGGTACAGCATCTCCGAGATCATGGTACCTTCAACCTGAAATTCACGATCATTGTGGTGATGGGACAGAAAGAAGAAATTGGATTTTCGCAGCTTGTAATGCATCCTACATTAAAAGAACACGGTCACATCCATACCATGTTGACAAAGTGCACGGTTTGGAGCCCGCTGATTGTCCACGTTGTGTAACTCACTTTTTGTCCGATGGAACTCCACATACTCGTCAACAAGTACGATTTCAAGAGACGGTTTTCGAGAAACGTGTATTGGTTGGATGAAACAATTCGTTTGTGGAAATCAACAGTGTTCAGAAATTATCGAAGAGTTTCAACAAGTGAAACTGGCAGCCGCTACTCCGGTGTTTTTTTACCTATCAACAAACCTCTTGCGACGCTCTGACGCCTGTATTGCTAGTCAAGGACAACATTTTCAACATTTCTTGTAAAAAGGTAGTAGCATTCTAAGTTGCTCTTATTTCTGTTCCAATAAACAATGTAAAATCGTTGTGACAAGGACCAAACATCCGTCAGAATCAAAATTACCAAAAAACTTTCACACTGACCTTTAACGATGAATGAGTAAATGAATGAACGAATGATAAGCAGCAAAAAGTCGGTTTTACTTTTAATTGAAACTGAAAGTGTTTAGGTCGTTTTTATTCGAACGTTTTTCCAACTCTGTTTACAAAATGGCTCAGTGCCTTCGTATCGAGGGTGGTTCATGGGGGTTTTGCCCCATTCGATTTTTAATTTGTTTTTTCTATATTTCGGCTCTACTAGGGTGGAGGATGCCGTGGTTAAAATATTTGCACATATTTCGCAGTCACCCTGTATGTGAATGGTTTTTAATCTACTCATATTTTATTTTTAAGAGGCTTTGTTGTTTTTGCTTGGAGGTTCATCCAAAATAGACATGATCAAAAGAGGTTTGAGACGATTGTTTACAAATAAACTTAGTGTAAAATGTTCATGGTTAGGCAGGAACCAGAAATACCCCATTTATCAGTTACTAAGCGTTGCAGCATTAAAAGGTGACATTTTATCTGAAAACGTAATATTTTCTTAACCTTATAATTTTAGCTGCTGTACGAAGGCGCTTTACTGATTTACCTGATTTTTTGTTTGAAGACACTATTAAATTATGGTTTCGTCAAGCGGGCCTAAGATATTCCAGGGAGTGTGCAAAGGCCCCGGAGCAGCAGTTTCAATAACTAATATTTTTGCTGTTTTACTCGTGAAGAACTTTTTTGTTTTTTTTTATCTACATTGTACCTAGAATAGAAGTTTTTATTTTGAATATTGTTTATTTTTTTATGTTAAATATATTAAATTTTCTAAGTTAGAATTTTTGTTATCTTCAACGTCCCAAAGCCTACCCAAACATTACATCAAAGAATCGTTCCTCGTATGTCGATATGAATACGTATCATCTACGTATACATATGCAACGTTTCTTACGAAACGTTTCTGAGGGCGGACATGTTGTGTGTTCTGTTGAGTTAACAAATACGTTTCTGTTGTGAAACAGCCAATGTTTCATACTTTCAATGTTTCATTACAGAAACGGTGTCGTTACCGAATTTTGTTTAGTGGGAGTTGACCAAGATGAAGATTTACTGAATGATCTTTGCACAATTTCGTACGAATCTGAGAAATTTGACAGAGACATACACCTTAGAAGTTTTGATAGTGACGATATTTTTGTTGAGAAAGGTGATCTAGTCAGAATACGCGTAAATAATACAACAAAAGTTATAAAAAACTCTTCACTTTGCTGGCTGTTAGACAATGAAATGATAGATAGATAGATAGATGATAGATAGATAGATAGATAGATAGATAGATAGATAGATAGATAGATAGATAGATAGATAGATAGATAGATAGATAGATAGATAGATAGATAGATAGATAGATAGATAGATAGATAGATAGATAGATAGATAGATAGATAGATAGATAGATAGATGGTTTATTAGTGTCAGTATATGTGTACACATATTTACACACGTCAGATTTAACCTATCTGTACATATAATATATACTATACTAAACTTACTATACTAAACTAATATAAAACAAGTATGTTTGACGAGGGGAAAAAACAAAAAACAACTTGCATTTCTTTTTCTTTTTTAACACTTTACTCAATGAAATCATGTTCTAAAAATTCCTCAATAGAATAAAATGCTGATTTTACGAGATATGTTTTTATCCTATGTAGAAGTAATTTATTTTCTAACTGTTTATAATTTAAAGGAAGTTTATTAAAAAATTTTACACAAAAATAATTCACACCATCTTGTGATCTCGTTAATCTCAAATATTTACAGCTTAAATCTTGTGTTCTTGTTTGGTGATTGTGAAAATCATTCAGCTTTGGATAAGACTTGATGTTGTTAACGATATGCTCAATACATTTAAGTATGTAGAGAGATGGAAGCGTTAAGATGTCTAGCCTTATAAAATGGTTTCGACAGTCGTCTCTATATCCTATATTCGAAATTATTCTGATGGCCTTTCTTTGTAATTTGAATAACCGTGTTCTTGCACTTGAGTGTCCCCATATTAAGATTCCATATTGTAGGTGACAATGTATTAAGGAAAAGTATACTATTCTTAAATACTTTAAAGAAAGGACATTAGATAAATTGCGTAACAAGTAGATATTTTTGGCAATTTTTAAGGCAGTTTCTTCACCATGTTTTATCCAAGTAAGCTGTGAGTCGATGTGTATGCCAAGATATTTCACGGTGATCTGATCTGATTCTGTCTTAGGTTTTACTGAAAATTTTAAGTCTTGTGTCTTGGTTTTATTGAGAGTTAATTTGTTTACAGTGAACCAGTCTTGAGCCTTGGAAAACATTTCACGTTTTTTACTATTTATGCTCTCACTAGTTGAGCCTGATGATATTGTAGTGTCATCTGCATACAATGTTACATTCACGTTTGACAAAAATTCAGGCAAATCATTGATGTAAAGTAGAAACAAAACTGGTCCTAATGTCGATCCTTGTGGAACTCCATATGTGATTTTGTAACCGTCAGATAATTGATCATCTCTTCTGACATATTGCCATCTATCAGTCAAATAAGATAATATCAATTTTGTGCTTTCAGGGTGGAAATCATAATAAAATAACTTTCTTATCAATATATCATGAGGTACGCAATCGAAAGCTTTGCTTAAATCCAAAAAATAACTAACGTATGTTTTCTTTTTTTCAAAGCACTCCACGATTCTGCTCACAAGACTTATGACAGCTGTAATGGTTGAAACACCTTTTCTGAAGCCAAACTGCATTTCGGATAATATTTTTTTTGTTTCTAAAAATTCCAAAATTTGCCAAAATAGGATTTTTTCAAATACTTTCGAAAAAATTGGTAATAAAGAAATCGGTCTGTAATTGTTTTTATCATTAATGTTCCCCTTTTTATATACAGGCAATACAGATGCAATTTTTAAGCATTTAGGAAAAACTTGGTTGGCAATACACTGGTTTATGAGTTTTGTGAGTGGATAGATTAAAGTTTCTTTAACACATTTTATAAGTTGCATGGATAAACCATAGATATCTTTCGAATTATTATTTTTTAAGCTGTTTATGGCATTCCGTACTTCCATCTGAGAAGCATTTCGAAACTTAAATATATTTTTATCATTGACAGTGTTTGACTCCATTATACGAATGGGGTCGAATTTCGGAGGTGGTAATTTTTTTATAGTTTCATTTGCTATTGTAGAAAAAAAGGCATTACATTCATTTGCGGATATTTCACATTTGCTATTAGAGTTAGAAGTCTGATTAGATCGACGACTATTTACAATGTTCCACAGAATTCTTGGATTATCTCTACTGTCTACTATAAATTTGTCATTAGTTTTTATTTTAGCCTCCCTAATGGCCAGATTATATTTTTTCTTAAGATTCTTAAGAAAATTAAAATTAAATTGTGAAAGCGTTTTCTTTAGTTCTAATGTTTCATGTAATCGATAAGCATCATTTATTAATTTTAGCGTTCCTCGCATTTGCTTCAGATTTGAATTAAACCAATTATTACATAGAATATTATATCTCTTTTTAATAAGAGTTCTTCTAATAGGAAAACACATGTTAAAGAAATACATGATAATGTTTAAGAAGAAATTAAATTTCTCCTGCACCTCTAAATCCCCTTCCACAAAAGACCAATCTATATTATCAAGATATTGAAAAAAAATTAAATTTGCCAACGTTTGTGATGGGTCTGGAAATCTTAATAATTTTAGAGGATTTACTGTTGCAGGGAACTATATTTTTTATATCTACTACAACTCCAGTATGATCAGAAACACCTAAATTCATAGGTTCCGCAGTAATTAAATTAGTATCTATATTTGTGAATACATTATCGAGTCGAGCCTTGCCACGTGTAAAAAATTTAACCAAAGGGTACATGTTAAAGCTGTGAAACGTATCAATTAATATGTGAGTAGACCAATCATTACCCTTCTCAAAGTGTATGTTGAAGTCTCCACCCATTATTATGTGTT